GTCATCTTCACTGGCTTCTGGCTCCGCCCCTGCCCACTCATCCATTGTCTATGTGCCCACACTCAACTATGTGATCAGCTAATGCAAAAGAACAGCCACAGCTCCCACTGGAGCTTAGTTTACTGATCCTTGGACGGAGGCAAGGCCAATCTAATTCCACCAGTTAGAATGAAGGCCAACAGGCCTGGCTGGGCATGGTGCCACATGCCTGTGATCCCAGCACCTGGGAGGCTGAGGCAGGAGGACTGCCGTGAGTTTTAAGTCCTGAGCTTATCAAGACTTGGCTCAAAAAAGCAAACAAACAAAAAGCTAACGGCTCAAAGAACACAAGAGAAACACATAATTCTCTGTGTAGACTGAGTATAAGGACAGTGTATACAAGTTGCTGTTTTACTGGTATCTGAAGCCAAGAAATGAGGCTATTTTTTAACCTTTGAGTTTTGGGCATTTGGAGGTGCCATTCCATCTGAAGTAGAATTTTTTGCTTTTAAAACATTAACTACCTTTTTTCCCCCTTTATAATATGGCCTTTCAATGATTTGACTGTGAGTAACTCATTTAATTTAGAATTGCCTATGAGTTCTTGGCAATCGAGATGCATATTTAGAAATCTTTGCAAAGTGGGAAAAAAATCTTACTTACAAATTGTTTTCAAATGTAATAGAATAGTCATAGCCCTAAATAGCACAATTAATGAAGTGCTGTGATGTTGTCTCCTAGACTTTGGTCTAAATATTTGTTAATTTCTACTTTGCAGTTTTTGCCTTTCATATTTTGGAGCCAGAAGTTTTTAAACATTTTTTTATTCAGCTCTCAAATACTCTCGCAGGTCCTGGGCATTCTGCCTACAGCGCCTAATAGAAAAAACGGCCCTGCTCAGAAAACCCAGAGTGAAAAGACCAATGAGATTAAGTAAAGGTGTCAGTGTGTATGATTTCCAGATAGCTCCAAGAGATCTTTTCCACCCCCGCCCCGAATTCTTGCAGAGCAAAGAGAGAGCTACAGGCTCCAAGGCAGAGCATAAGTGCTGGCAGTAACGCAGTATGTGCACATTCGGTGCACTGTTAGAAACACAGGCAAGGCTGAGGCGAGCAAAATAAACTCTGAGAAAGGAAAGCAAAACGAGGATGGCAGCTCGGGTTTTAAGCCTCCACTCTGCTGGGCACTTAAGCAGGTGTTTTCTATGTATTGTTCAATTTCATTCTCCCATCAGCCCTAGGCAGGAAACATGGTTACCCGCTTTGTACAGATCTGAGAGAGGCTATGAAGACCCAGAAACAGAAGTCAAGCAAACCCTGGGGCCCAGACTGTCTCAAGAGCCTGATATCTCCCTGCTTCATGGAGGGTGTTTTGCGCTCTCAGAGCTCATTGGGAAGTGACGTGTCAGAAGTTTCCCAGAAAGCAAAGCTGAAATGACGCTCAACAGAATTCACTGGCTTTTTTTTTTTTTTTTCTTAAACGATTCATTGGTAGAAAAAACTGTACTGAATAAAACTTCAGAAGCCCACGGTCTGCAGCAACATTGAGGGAATTTTGAACTATGGAAAGTCCCAAGTCGCAATCAGATTGGAACATTTCCAGTTGCCTTCATGGTCCCTTTACAGTATTTATCAGTGTAATCTTGGGTCACCTCCCACTGAACCACACAAGCAGCTTGATAAAATGTAGATTCCTGGGTCCCCATTCAGACCCACTGCATGAGGCTGAATCTGGGGGAAGGACCTGGGGGTCTGTATTAAACTAACCTTCTCTACCTCTCTGGGTGACTCCGTGTTCATTAAAGTTCTAACCCTACAGCTCAGTGATTCAGAACAAGGTCCCCCTGCCTCCTCATTTTCTTGTGGAACAGCTTTTGAGGACAATAGCTTAAGCCACCAGGAACACTTAGTTCCAGGTTGACCACTATTTTACAGATGAGAAATTAGACCTGAAAATGAGCAAGTGAGGAAAGAAAAATAACTGAAAGAGAAAAGAAGCAAATTGCTTTGTTTGCCAACTCAGTAAAACTAGTAAAAGTAAGCTCAAAAACAAAGAAAAACAACACATACATAACACCGCACTGAGACATCTGGTGGGGCCTTGGCTTTAGGCATCGGTAGGAGAGCCAGGCCCTGAGGAGATGTTGTGCAAGGAAGATGGCAGGAGCTTTAAAAGCAGTTACTACTGGTTTCCTGGGAAGTTAAAAATCACCTCTTGCAGCTAAATCATTTCTGCTAGGAAAGAAAAGAAAAAAAGAAGGAAGGATGAAGGAAGAAAGAAGAGAGAGACAAAGGGAAGGAGATAAAGGGAGGAAAAAGGAATGTAAGGAGAAAGTGAAGTCAAGAAGAAAAGCGGAAAAGGAGGGGAGGAAAGAAAAGAAATGGAAGAGGAAGAGGAGAAGGGAGAGGACAGGAGGAGGAGGAAGAAGAAAAAGGAAAGGAGGGAGTGGGAGTGTGACGCCATGGTCCAGGGAACAGTGGATGGAGCTTACGTATCGCAGGGACCCAGGGACACTTCGATGCTCTCAAGGTGAGTTCAGGGCATCTGGAGAGCACTTGCATTTGGCAGAAGGAGCCAGGACCACCCTTCTGCACCTCCCTCATGGCCACAATGCCACCCCAGACTTCAGCTGCCTCAAGCCCCAGCTCCAGGCGTCACCCGTGCTCCCACTCTGCCAATGTGCCCTGCAGGGCCGCAGAGTCCGTTCTGGAAGGTGGGTGGCTCTGCCTTGCACTAGGCACAAAATATTCCCCTCGGCATAGACTTTACAACACACCGGGAGTGCAAGTCCCCCAGAGTCACCCCAGCACCCGGGCCCTTGGACATCAAGGGAAGGCCAGTTAAAAGTTTCTGCCCTTGGACTGGGTGAGAGCCCAGAAGAAAGTCCACAGGACAGTTACAGCACATAGAACAGGAAGAAGTCTGAAGTTTCAGACTTCTCGGACTTGGACCTGAAAAGGTTGAGTCTAAAAAGGAAAACATGTCACCTTCCTGCCAAAATAAACTGTGACGAAAGTTTGGGCTCAACACCTTTCAGCCAAGCATTTCCTGTTCTGGCCTCCTCTGTCTGCCTGGTACCAGCTCAGCCCAGGGAGGGAGAGCTATTTTTAAGTTGCAAGCAACCAAGACTAAGAATGAGAGAAGTTATTTATTTACTTATAGTTACACCTGGCAACTGTTCTTCTCCTCTTTGGAGATAGAGGCCAGGTTTGGCTTTCCCTCTGCATCTGAATCTCTTGGGGAGGAGGGAACTGGATAGGTCACAGCTCAGTCATCTCCAGCCACAGACTGCTACCCTGGGAAATTCAGGCGGGGGAGCTATTCACCTGAAGAATTCCTCTTATTGGACATACTCAAATTATGTCAGAAGTGTTTTGTTTAACAGCATTTTTTTTTTGTATAGAAGGTAATTAAAAAATGTATTAGTACTTTTGTGATTGAAAGGAAGCCAACAATAAATCTCTATGCCCTCATTTTTCCGACAGTACATTCTAATATCATGGAAATAGATATTCCTTAGCTTAACAGGGATTTGTAAATGCAGACTTTGTAGTAGATTCTCTTAGGCAAGGCACATCTACATTTAGTGTTCTGAAAGCCAACAAGCTTTTTCTGGTTATCAAAATCCATCCTTCTTGTTATAATTTGGAGCTGTTTTCTTATTCTATTAAATTGGGGCCATTCTTTATACCAAACTTTGAAAGACCCACTGGAATATGCTAATAAATTAAAAGAAAAAAAACCCCTTTGTAATGTGTGCAAAAGCATCATCTCGGTTTTGGCTGCTGTCCCCACACAGTCACTGTTATTTTCTTCACTGCGTGTACATCCACCTGACAGTATTATATTTTACTGTAAGCACCATGAAGGCTCTGTTCACTCTCTAATTCATCACTGCATCACAAGCCACAAAAATATACTAGATGTTCAACATTTATCATTTAATTAACACATTTCTATTTATCTTAAATTATTATGGTATTTGGGATTATAACGACTATGGATGTGCATACACCCCACCTGCTATAGTCTGGGTGTGGTCTGAAGGTCCCCTAAGAGTCTACTGTGGTTAAAGTCTTGGATTCCAGGGGGGGTCCTCTGGGGAGGCAGGGCCTGGTGGGAAGAGCCAGGTAGTCAGGTGGAAGTTTTCAGAAAGGACTGAGAGACCCACTCTCTCTCTCTCTCTGACATCCTGTTTCATGATGTAAGCTCTTGCACACACATGCTTTTCCACCATGATGTAACTTGAAGCTGGGAGAGCTTCAGAACTGAGCCAACACCAGTGCCATGGCCATGAATAGCAAAAACACTTGAGAGTTTAATAAACCTTTTCCCTTCATAAAGTTAACTGCCTTGGGTTATAGCGATGAAAAGCTGACTAATACACCACCCTTTTCTTTAAAAAAATTGATATCTTCCTAAATACCCAAGCTCCACTATTTTCACCTGCTGCTTTGGGTACTATTGTAAGAATTATTTCACATCTCTTACTATCTACGTGTTTTAGCTAAGTTAAACTTCAAGCTTAAGGAATGAGTCTGTGGCCACGACCTACTCTCAGCTTCTGTTTCCCTCTACTTTTGGTAGGTTCTTTGACCAAACATGTCAATGGGGTCATGATTCTGCTTTTGGCCAATGGGGATCCTTACTGCATCACTGACTTGTATAAGACTGAGTGCCTTTTACCACTCGAGGAGGAAATAAAAAAAGACTGGAAGCTATTTGAGCGCAGAATGCAGGTCTAGAAACAGATGTATCAGAAAGAGGGACAGAAATAATTTTATGACCCAATAGGACCCAGAACGACACAGGAACTTGAGCTATAGTAAATAGGACTTGGTACCTGGTAGTTCAAGAAAGTTTTGTTGACTGATAAAAGGGCAAAAATGATACAAAAATGATGCCATTAGGACAGTTGGCATATTTACATTTTGGCAGTACTGTTTTGGGAACATTTTTATTACTCCAAATGCGGTGGGAAAGAAAAATATGTAGGAACAGAATTCCAGTTAGTCACTTACCTTTTTACTTAAATGGGAACCACTGGTGCACCCAGTGCTTCTCTGTGATGGTGGCACTTGATATACATCTTGTTCTTGGGCGGCATGGCCAGTGGGTACTTGGTAAATCCCCTGATTCTGGTAGGAAGGTGGCACTTGGTAGATGGTGTCACGAGATACTGCCTGTGAGTTTGGAGCTTGGTAGAGCTTCTGTTGGCCAAAGGTCTGGTGCATGGGTACAGAAGTAGGCTGATCGTGACTGGATGGGGTCTCCTGCATGGGACCAATCAGAAGCTTCACCCTGTTGCCAGGGACAATGCCTTGCCGACCGTGTAGGGAGCACAGCCACCATCCTTCTAGCCCCCCAGTATTCTGCTCTATGACAGTCAGGATGTCTCCCTTGCGAAAGGCCAGCTCCTCGGCACATTCTGGAACATTGTCATATAAGGCCCTTGCCATAAGATTCTAGGAAGAAAGAACAGAGAGAAACCACGTTAGAATGTTAGCTCAGTCCCTTTAACACCTAGAGCCCACGCACACTTTCAGGGAGAGGAACTGTTCCTGGAAAAAGTGAAGAGAAATCTGAACAACAGCCTATGAGGAGAAAAACAGATGGTGTAGACAAAAGACAGATACATACATGCTGTGTCTGCCACCAATGACATCAGACTGCCTCCTTGGAAAACCTCGAAACACCAGAGGAGTTCTTTCCTCTAGTGGTTGACACTGTGCCAAGAAATTATGAGTAGCCGCTAAAGAGTTAGCGAATGGTTCACTACGCAAAACATTTTTCTTCTTTTTAAAAAGTGAGCTTACGGGGAAAAAAATATTCCAACCTATTCAGATGCTCCATTATGGCATTTCTCAATTTTTTTCATACACTGGAGGTAAAAAGACTCAAAGAAAATCCCAAATAACACACCACAAATAGCGTTTATATCAAGTGTTGAAAGCAAACAGAAGTACACTTATATATGCCTTGGCAGGGCTTACACAATCTTATATGCAGGTAATCGAGAGGCCCTTGGATATGGGGGAACTGACAAGTAAGGCAGAGAGGCGAGGCGTGATGCCCACGCATGCTCATCGTGTGACAGTAGTCGGTGTCTACAGATTGGACAGTAGGGAGCCAGAGGCAGATGGCAGCTCTTTCTCATTTGGTCTTTTACTCATACCTCTCCTGAGGACCCTTCCTCATTCTGCCCCTTTATCACCTCCTTTTTGAACCTTGCCATTCACATCGAAAAGACTCTGCCTCCCCCTTTCCTGGGCCCGAAACACTCTCCGTCTTTGTATGAAGGCCTGTCTGGCACATTCAGTACTAAGCAGACAGCCAAAGTAGGCATTCAGCAGAGTGGGCAGGCAGTACGTGCTGACATTCCTGGAAGGCTTTCAAAGGCTCTGCAGATCTCATTTCTTGGCGTTAGGAACGTTTCCCAGCAAGCGGGCAGCCATTCCCGCATGCCTGCCCCCTTCCCAGTGCACGGAGAAGTCAGGCGACATTGTAACTTCGTCGCAGGCACTTGGAAAATGAAAAGTTATCTCTCTAGTGCTTCGTTAAAATGTTTGCATGCATTTAATGTCATTGCAGTGGGGTCATTTATGGAAGAAAGAACTGCTGATTGGCTGGAGCACGCCTGTGACTTTATTAAATACCAGAACGCATTTGTGGAATTTGGGGATGTTTTTGTTTGGAATTTGGTCCCCTGTTTTCTTCTCTTGAAATGTGGGCTCGATCTTCCAGCCTCATGTTTTTTATTTCTTTAAAATGGACACACGTTAATTATCTCTGTGCTCTGCCTGTAGGCACAGGACTAGCACAGTAGGCCGTTCTCGGCTATGGTGTGGCCAGGTGTGTGGTCAGGGTTAGGAAGAGGTCCTACTCCACTGCTGTTCACCAGTCAGTGTAGCTACTTAACATAGGGAAGAGTGATAGGGTCACGGGTGCCAACCCGGGGGAAGCTTAGGGCGTGATGGTCTCCCAGAACAGGACTCAAATCCTCACAGGGCTGATGACAGCCTGGAATTCTCTACCTACCAGGTGAACTGTAAGGGATGCTAAAAGGAAACTGTGGAGTTTGTGTTTCAGGCGAAAGCCTTACTTAGTAGTTACATTCTAGGAAGCCCTGGGTTCCTTCTAACAATGAAAAAGTTCACATTCAAAACGATACAATCAAGTAACATCCTATCCTCATTGGTGAAACTTTTCCAAGATGTGTCAGGATCCTAAAATATCCTGTTTCTCCTTCATCTGTGGGTGTTCTGTAATTTCATAGAAAAGTCATAGAGTTATAGAGAACACAGTTCTGGTCCTTTGTACCAAAACGATCTCAGGGAAATGCTTCCACCCAGGTTGTGCTGTGACTGGATAGCTGAGAGGGTACTGGCCACTCTAGTCTCTGTCTCTTTCTCCCAGGCCCATCCACAGTACCTAGGACTGGCTGGTAAGGAAGCCCCTAGATGAAATCAGAAGTCAGAGTTGGGGCCAGTCGGATGGGAGCTGAGGGTTGATAGCTGTACAATTATCTTGGCCACAGAGCAGGGAAAGAAGAGAAACAGAAAACAGTGCACAGGCAAAGGGATACAGACTCAATCAGCAGAAATCAGGGGAGGCATTTGGAGTTGGGTCATTTCCAACTCCACTGACACCACAGGCACTGAGGAGAGCGCCAGACTGGGCTTGATTAGAGGCAGATAGAAATCCCCGGGAGTCCTGCTGGAGGCTCTTTGTCTCCTGTCCCAGTAACCTGCCCCACCTGGGAGGCTGCATACCCTGTGTCTATAGGAACCTCAGGAGCTGCTCCTGGAGGTCTGCAGGGCCCTCTGCTCTGTGTCAAGGTGGGCACTGCAGATGAGTTCTCTTGACCCCTCAACATGACTTCCCTGGGGTCTCTGCCACTGCATAGAGATCCGTATGTAGAAAGAGAGCTTGGTGTGGCTGCTGACAGCTGGAACCAGCAACACCAATTCACATGTGGATGGCCGTCCTCAGCCTTGGCATTATTTAACCTCTGTAGCGCAGCCTACAGAGAAGCAATTTCTACACCGAGCCACCCTCTTATACAGAACCACAGCCTTCTTGAGTTTGCCGGAGGTTTAAGTGAGTTAATTTAAGTGAGTTAATTTAATTGAAGTGCTACAACAATGCCTGAGACTTAACAGGCTCTAAGCAGCTCTTATTTATTTGATTTCCTTTGCCTGATGGCCCCTGGGCTCCAGGCTTCCCACTGTCTTGCCTCCTCTTGCTTCTCTATCAAGGACTGTGGTATTCTAAGGATGCTGTTATGTGTATTGCTGCAAACAACAATAATGACAGCACAGGTTGCATTCAGGAGACTTTCTAAAGAGACTAACAGTGTTAATGAAGATGGGATTAAGGATATTACCTGATAAATTATGGATAAATCCCAACAGCGTACAATACATTGGAAGGCAAAGAAAGTCATGAATAAGGAGCTCAGCCTTTGAACATACTTGATGTTGGGTCAAGAGCTCAGTAAGAACATAAAACACAAATCCTCTTCACCTGGAACACAACAGATCTCATTCAAGAGTACACTAACTGCTAAGTGGGCAGACCAAGAGTTAATGATTCTTCCACTAGGAGAAAAGGAAGGATGCTTCTCATTAGAGCAAAGGCAGAAATCCTTGATATCTGGCTATTTTAGAAAAACCCCAGAGAGGCAGTTTGCCTATTCAAGATCTACTCTTTCTCAACCTCCCAGCCCCTTGGATATTTATCTCCAGGGGAGGAAAGGTTAACACAGAAACAAATCAAGGGAGATAAGAGAGCTATGTAATTCTATACCCACCTGGAGGGAGCCTCTAGGATTGGCAGTTAGAAAGGCAGCTAGGGCAGACCGGTTGGGTAGGGCACAGGACCTGAAAGGTGGAAGGAACCTGAAACAATTACAGTCCAACTCTTTTAACTTCACCAATAAGAAAAGGGAGGCTCAAGAAGTTAATGAGTTGCCAACTCACCTGACAAGAAAGTCTGAGGACTGGGATGAGTAGCCAGGCCTCCTACGTCCAAGTGTTTTGTGAAGTCAAATACACACCCTATAAAAGCTGCTGCTCTACTCCAGGTTGGATACTAGTATTTAGGATCACAAACCCCATCTAGCATGGAGCTCCTGGCTTTCACAGCATCACTCCCAGGCTCTCCCTTTTCTGGTAACCCTGCTTCTCCCCTCTCCATCACAGATTTCCCGCCATTTCCCCAAGGAATCTCTCCTTTGCACCTTTCTACACCTTTGCTCTCTAAATGAAATCTCATCTCTGCAAGGGCATCTGGCATTCCGACACAGACAATATCCAAATCTACAGTCCCTTCTCCAGTTGTCTAACTAAAGGCTTTTCAGTTAGATCTTTAGTCATTTGTTCTGTAACTCATCGTATGCAAACAACAAACTTTTATGCTTGCCCGCTTGGCTCTCTGTTAACAGAGCATTCAGCCGCCCCAGGCAGGAGCCCGAGGTTTCTTTCCACAACTTGAAACCTTCGAGAAGGCTCTGCATGTCCCCTTCCTGCCACCTTTCAACCCCTTTTTGCACCCCCTGCCCCAGATTAGAAATTGCTTCCCACCTGGTTCTCTTGAATTGGACCTCTTCCTGCTAAAACCCTATTGTCTATATGACCACAATAATTATCTGTCCAGAATCTGTTTCCCTTTCCTTGTGGCATGGCTTGGATGGCCCCATTCAAGACTGTGAAACTCCTTGATTCAGTGATGCTGTCTCATTCCTTCTGCACATACCAGAACTTCAGCCCAGTGTCTGAAACAGAATACAAGCTCATTCCCATGTCTGCTAAACTGAAATGGATTCTGGCCTCTGATTTCCTGGTTCTCTGCAGTGAGGTTGAAACTGGGTTTCTAGAGAATTCAGCAAGACATTTGATTCAAGACTTCAGATGGGAGCATGGAAGGCAGACGACCTGAGCAGAAAGATAAAAATGGTGGGTTCCAAGTCACTCAAGCTGGACAGGCAGAGGATGGGAGACAGCAGCAGGAAAGGCCTGCCCCTCCCTGTTTAAACAGGATAATGACGCAGATGGGGAGCCTGACCCCCCTGAATCCAGTGTTCGTAACTACTGAGCAAACAGGAAGGCCAAGAGGAACTGGCCATCCCAGCACGAAGAAACACAATGGCCTCTTTAAAGGCTTTCTCTCTTAGTGCGGCAATCTGCATCTGGAGGTAGGTCACAGAGCGCCATTCACAGACTTTGCCAGAACGCTGCAGCTCTGCTGTTCCTGGTTCCCAAGCGGTGCTGGAAGATGGTAAATGGGCCAGAAGGGCCAGTCCTGAGATAGGGCATATGGAGGCTTCTCCCTTCCACCGTCTCTAATGCCTTCCCCCCACCTTTTCTTTTTTTCCACTGCTATCAAAATGTCAAGAAAGCGTCTTACTCCTACTGCTAGGGAAATTATCTGCTTTTCCCAATCGAGAGAGGTGTGACGTGTAGTT